GGTATCGTGATTTGACAGCTTTGAATGCATTTTATTTTATAGTGCCATTTAAAGCTAGTTTAAGTATTGTTTTATACATTACTGAAAATGTACAGTAGACATAATTTAAGCACACCCCCAATCCTCATTATTAAAGAGATCTCATTTTTAATTATGTAAAAAAATATTATTAAAACTGCATTTATACACAATGTTAGTTAGGGTGACCATATTTTAGCTTTCCAAAAAGAGGACAGTGCGGGCGGGCGTGCCGGGTGGGGGACTGGGGTGTGGTTGGTTGGTGGTTAAAGTAATGCCGAAAGCGCCCAAAGTAGCGCAATCTCAAATATCAAAACTCAAAATATGTCATTTCCATACCTAATATACATATTTTACAGTCACTGTTATGCATATTGATCATAAACGCAGCTAAAAAGCTTCCTAGTGCCCCTTCTCGGGGAAGGGGCACTGGGCACTCTAACCATTAGGCCACGACTTCAGGGAAGTCGTGGCCTAATGGTTAGAGAGTCGGACTTGTAACTCAAAAGGTTGCGGGTTTGAGTCTTGTACCGGCTGGGATTGTCGGTGGGGGGAGTGAATGTACAGCGCTCTCTTCCACCTTCAATACCACGACTGAGGTGCCCTTGAGCAAGGCACCGAACCCCCAACTGCTCCCCGGGCGCCGCAGCATAAATGGAAGATCCGTCCGGGGAGAAGCGGACGCTCCATGTCTCACAGCCGGCAGAGCCGTACAGACGCGGGGGTTGAGCGGGTTTCAGCTCCGCGATCAGATCATGCGGTTCTGTCACAATTAAAGAGACCTGTCATGTACAAAAGCAAATGCGCATATCCGGAACTACTCATTTTCTACTAATATGAAAACGTCTTTTCCTCTTTTATCAAATGCATATGCTTATATATCATCTACATTATGTGAATTGCCTTACCTTTGACAGTACAACCTCGAAGCGAAGTGCACATCTTACCACTGAAATCACGAACGCTTCACTTCACCTCTCCTCTACATAGAGAGTCATTCACTAGGGGGCGTGGCCAGATGGGCAAACCACGTGACCCCATCGTCAAGCGTGTATCATTCTGATTACAGTACCTACTTGGGTGTGTCTACTGTATATTTACAGTGTTTTATACTTGTCATTTACGTCTCAAGGTATCGTGATTTGACAGCTTTGAATGCATTTTATTTTATAGTGCCATTTAAAGCTAGTTTAAGTATTGTTTTATACATTACTGAAAATGTACAGTAGACATAATTTAAGCACACCCCCAATCCTCATTATTAAAGAGATCTCATTTTTAATTATGTAAAAAAATATTATTAAAACTGCATTTATACACAATGTTAGTTAGGGTGACCATATTTTAGCTTTCCAAAAAGAGGACAGTGCGGGCGGGCGTGCCGGGTGGGGGACTGGGGTGTGGTTGGTTGGTGGTTAAAGTAATGCCGAAAGCGCCCAAAGTAGCGCAATCTCAAATATCAAAACTCAAAATATGTCATTTCCATACCTAATATACATATTTTACAGTCACTGTTATGCATATTGATCATAAACGCAGCTAAAAAGCTTCCTAGTGCCCCTTCTCGGGGAAGGGGCACTGGGCACTCTAACCATTAGGCCACGACTTCAGGGAAGTCGTGGCCTAATGGTTAGAGAGTCGGACTTGTAACTCAAAAGGTTGCGGGTTTGAGTCTTGTACCGGCTGGGATTGTCGGTGGGGGGAGTGAATGTACAGCGCTCTCTTCCACCTTCAATACCACGACTGAGGTGCCCTTGAGCAAGGCACCGAACCCCCAACTGCTCCCTGGGCGCCGCAGCATAAATGGCTGCCCACTGCTCCGGGTGTGTGTTCACGGTGTGTGTGTGTGTGTTCACTGCTGTGTGTGTGCACTTTGGATGTGTTAAATGCAGAGCACTAATTCCAAGTATGGGTCACTTGGCCACATGTCACTTCACTTTCACTTTCTTCACAAAACTTGACATCTATCTAGCACAGTTTTATCATAGGTAGAACGCAAAATGTTTCAATACAAGCATTTCAGTCAAATGTAATTTATGCAACATTTCAAATCTTTTAACCCTGGGGGGCAAATCAAGCCATGGCAACAGTTTAAAAGTAGCCCAATTCAATCGAGAAAAAATACAGCAGACAGGAGCTGCAGGAGTCAGATTTTACTGATCACGGGTTGAGAGGAGATGACTGACAGAACATGCTGGAGGATTTGCTGCTCAACAGATCCTGAGCTCATTGACAAATATCTGAAAAATATCAACATTTTTATAATAATAATTTTTATATATATACAGGTGCATCTCAATAAATTAGAATGTCGTGGAAATGTTCATTTATTTCAGTAATTCAACTCAAATTGTGAAACTCGTGTATTAAATAAATTCAATGCACACAGACTGAAGTAGTTTAAGTCTTTGGTTCTTTTAATTGTGATGATTTTGGCTCACATTTAACAAAAACCCACCAATTCACTATCTCAACAAATTAGAATATGGTGACATGCCAATCAGCTAATCAACTCAAAACACCTGCAAAGGTTTCCTGAGCCTTCAAAATGGTCTCTCAGTTTGGTTCACTAGGCTACACAATCATGGGGAAGACTGCTGATCTGACAGTTGTCCAGACACCACATACAGACGTGTCAAGGAATTTGGCTACAGTTGTCGTATTCCTCTTGTTAAGCCACTCCTGAACCACAGACAACGTCAGAGGCGTCTTACCTGGGCTAAGGAGAAGAAGAACTGGACTGTTGCCCAGTGGTCCAAAGTCCTCTTTTCAGATGAGAGCAAGTTTTGTATTTCATTTGGAAATCAAGGTCCTAGAGTCTGGAGGAAGGGTGGAGAAGCTCATAGCCCAAGTTGCTTGAAGTCCAGTGTTAAGTTTCCACAGTCTGTGATGATTTGGGGTGCAATGTCATCTGCTGGTGTTGGTCCATTGTGTTTTTTGAAAACCAACGTCACTGCACCCGTTTACCAAGAAATTTTGGAGCACTTCATGTTTCCTTCTGCTGACCAGCTTTTTGAAGATTCTGATTTCATTTTCCAGCAGGATTTGGCACCTGCCCACACTGCCAAAAGCACCAAAAGTTGGTTAAATGACCATGGTGTTTGTGTGCTTGACTGGCCAGCAAACTCACCAGACCTGAACCCCATAGAGAATCTATGGGGTATTGTCGAGAGGAAAATGAGAAACAAGAGACCAAAAAATGCAGATGAGCTGAAGGCCACTGTCAAAGAAACCTGGGCTTCCATACCACCTCAGCAGTGCCACAAACTGATCACCTCCATGCCACACCGAACTGAGGCAGTAATTAAAGCAAAAGTAATGTTTGCAAACAACTTTGTGTGTGTGTATATATTTCATATGATATTTTTATGACCTTTGCAATGTACTGTTTTGAACCAATATAATGAACATAGTCAGGTAGGTTATGAGATATGACCCAAATTAGAGCACTGTCCCTTTTAGGTGTTTTTAAGCTTTATTGTGAGTCACTATTACCATTACCTTTCTCCACAAAAGCTGGCATGCGGTTCTACTTCTGACACTGGAAATGTTCCTGTGCAAATTGGGCACTGGGCCTCAAGTGCCTACACATTAAAGACAAAAATGTATGCAGGGCAAATTTTGTAAAAATAATTGATAATTGACAATGATCAGTTTAGCTTTTGCTTGTGTACCTCCTGAGGGTGATTGCGACATTGGATGATGTTGCAAGGGGTTTAAAGTTATGCCTTGAAGATGTTGCCTGGGTTCTGGGTTCGGGCTCTATCCCGAGCTCGGAGCCCTGCCTCTGGACAGCACGCCAAATATGCTACTAATTGCTCAATCATATTATATGTTAGTGCGAACTCGTGAATCACCCTCATGTCGTTTCAAACCCGTAAGACCTTCGTTCATCTGCGGAACACAAATTAAGATATTTTTGATGGAATCTGAAAGCTGTCTGACCCTCCATAGACAGCAACACAACTGAAATGTTACCAAGTCCAGAAACATAGCAAGGAGATCTGTAAAATAATCCATGTGACATCAGTGGTCCATTCGCAATTATACAAAGCTACGAGAATACTTTTTGTGCGCAAAAGAAAAAAAATAACGACTTTATTCAACAATTCGTCTCCTCCGCATCACCCTGGTGCCATTTTGGAGAATATCCGCTGGACGTAAACAACATATGCTATTTCCTACGTTGTTGTGATTTGATCTGAACGGAAACAGCGTATCCGTGTGACGCAGCTGACACAGAACAGCATACGTTGTATACTCATCCAAAAGAGATTCTCCGCATATTGATAGAAGCCTCCTGATGCACGAAAATTATATGCAATATTAGAATGTTTGAGGGACTAGGCGAGACTAGACACAGTCCTCGCAGGGCTCTAAAACAAAAACGAAAATTCAAAAGCCAAATCCCTGACATTTTGGGCGATTTAGAAATCCCGGCCAGTGTTCTGAAAAAATAATGCTACCTATCAGATTATGCTACCAACACTGTATTTATCCTACTGTAAGGGTGGGTTTAGGGTTGGGGTAGGTGTACAAAAGCCTCACACCTTATATCACGATGGAAGCTAAATCTGATAGGTAGGCCTAGCACTTTTCGCTATCAAATTATGCTACCATCTGTTTTAATGGGAGGTAGCAAAATCTGACAGGGTAGCACAAATCGTCAGAACACCCCATTTTTTAAGGTCCAAAAAGAGGACGTATGGTCACCCTAATGTTAGTATTTGTTGTACTGCCTTCAGTTTAGGCTTAAATTTTAAGCTGTTTAACTACACACACACATATATATATACACACACACATATATGGACAATATCACTACTGTATTACAAGAAATCACCATTGAGAAAATGAAAATTGCAAAACACACAAGTTAGTAAAATGTCTGGATGTTTTACAGTAATGAGAATAGAAGGGAAATCTGAAATGAAAATTAATTCACAATGCAAAGAAATTGCAATGGTACAAAATAGGCTTCATATAATTACGTTTTTTTTTATTATTATTTTGCCACGAAATATGACCCAGACATATTTTGTTGAGATTCACCCATACAATATTACAGAAAGCATCATTCAAACCAGTTCAAGTAACAATAACATTTCGTAACAGTTCACTGACATACTGTAGTATGGTGTAGTAAAAGTTTTAATTTCATGAATTGAGACCAGTATGTTAAAAACTAATACTGAAAATAAAAACAGGGCCTCTCTAAAATGAGTTTAAGACCTTTAGACTTTACACAGATTGCTGGAATATTATACAAGGAAAATATCACACAAACAAATAATTTAGCAGAGTTTACCATTTGGAAGAATTGATTTTCTGTACATTTAAACTGATTACTAACAGTCTGCTATCTGTTGTACTGGTTCTGGATGCGTTTGATCGTTATGTTGTACTGTACGGTCTGCATTATCTTCATGATCACCTGTAAAATAAACACACACTTGTTTCAGCAAATCCGAAAGTACAGAAAACCCACAATTTATCATCAATACCAAATACTAAATATTTCAGAGCGGAGCATAACTACAGAAAATATATTCAATACAGAATTATTTTGATAATTATTTGAATTTGATACATACTGTATTTACACACAAAAAAAAAACATTTCCAAAGTTTTCAACTGAATATCAAAAGAGTCGTTTTTCAAACTTGCCTTACTTTTATTTGCTCAAGTTTAATTTCATCATGATATAACATTTCCCAGTTCCCAATTCTTTCAAAACAAACTCCTTTTGATACCATATCACAAATGTCTAAACAATATTCGGGACACCGCTGACTTACTGGATGGTATTCTGTGAATCTCTACAAGTGTGGTTGCGTGTCCGTTTGTCAGCGGAGGGAGTTGTGGAACAGTATCATGGAAAATTACCTCTTCATCTGAATCCACTAAACTCAGTATATCCCCTCTGTCATCATCTAAATGACTAGAAAGAAAATGTTACAAAGCCTCAGCTTCACACATCCTTGCCAGCGCATGTTATAGTATGTATGAAGACAATAAACACATATTTTAGAATAATGCTGACATATTACTACACTCTAAAAAATGCTGGGTTGTTTCAACCCAATGTTGGGTCAAATATGGACTAACCCAACAGTTGGGTTAGTCCATATTTGACCCAACATTGGGTCGAAACAACCCAGCATTTTTTAGAGTGCATGATTATTAATGCATTTTAATGTTTTGTGGTCATACTTACCTAAATCCTAAACCTGAAAAATAAAAATAAACATTTATACAAAGAATCCTTACGAAAAGAGTTTTATTTAGGCACTCAGTATGCAAAAATACTTACCAATACAAATTCTATCCCGCTTTGAATATATCGTTACACCGACAGTGATACCGATCATCATTATCAAAACGGAAACAAAGACACCAACCACGGCCCCTTTATTGTCTGCAGAAGCTGAGAACAAAGATTAAACGTTGTCATATTGCACACAGTCTGAAATTTATTTTATCACAAAGGGAAGAAGTTCACGTGGAGGGTGTTGTGTAATACTTTTGCAAAGGGAGAGGTATTACAGAGCAATGTCAGAAACATCTTGTCTGATCACATTCATGCACAGGTGTCATAGCTTTAGCATCACTACACTCTAAAAAAATGCTGGGTTAAATATAACCCAGCGCTGGGTCAAAACAACCCAATTGCTGGGTTTGTCCCTATTTTACCCAGCACTGGGTTGTATTTAACCCAGCATTTTTTAGAGTGTAGTATTTGAAGTATCTCCAGATCTGACCTGTGATGTATTTTTTAAAACATGCATCTCATTCTTAAACAACGGAAATCATAAGATTACTTGAATGCAAATAAAAAAAGTTAAAACTCAAGAATTAAATATTCAGACATATTACCGTCTTGTGACAGTGTGAAAAATAGGAATGGTCTAAAAATAGGTTTCATTATCTATTTTGAATTTGAGTACAAAATGTGATCTGGACATGTTTTAACTAGGAATAAAAGAATTCTTGTTATATTAAAAAAATAATAAGTATGGAGAAACATTCAAGTTTCTAACTTACTCTTCACAGTAAGATACACTTCCAGTTCTTTTGGACCAAGAGGGTTTATACTGTAGCAGTAGTAGATCCCTTCATCTTCCTTAGTTACATTGATTATAGTGAGATTGTAGTTGGGGTTATTATCAGACACAATATATTTGGAGGTGGTGTTGATGGTTTTGTTGTCCTTTCGCATCCAGACAGTCTTTGCCGGTGGCAGAGATTCGGTCTCAGTACAGCTGAGGGTGATATTGCTGCCCACCAAAGCGGTTACCATGGGATCTCCTAAGGGATACGGCATCTCTGGAAGACACATTAAATATAATGGTTTCAATTTAGTAAATTTAGCCAGAGATGCAGTGGAAGATGAAGGCAAGCAAAAACTCAAGCTGTAATATTCTGGGAGTGTTTAAAGATCAAAACTCAAAAGAACTGCACATATAGTGGCTGATTTGAAAGTGAAAGTGACCTGACATGTGGCCAAGTATGGTTACCCATACTTGGAATTAGTGCTCTGCGTTTAACCCATCCTAAGTGCACACACACAGCAGTGAACACACACACACCGTGAACACACACCCGGAGCAGTGGGCAGCCATTTATGCTGCGGCACCCGGGGAGCAGTTGGGGGTTCGGTGCCTTGCTCAAGGGCACACAACGTGTGCCCTTGCTCAAGGGCACCTCAGTCGTGGTATTGAAGGTGGAAGAGAGCGCTGTACATTCACTCCCCCCACCTACAATCCCTGCCAATACGAGACTCGAACCCACAACCTTTGGCCTATGAGTCTAACCATTAGGCCAAGACTTCCCAACTTGAAAGAAGTTTCATCGATTTTTTTGGAGACACACGTAACCCTGGCCCAAACTCACAACATTGGTTATGTTGGCCCACTCAAAGAAAATAAAGTTTCATTTGTGCTACTAAAAAGCTAATTTAAGCAAAAACTGGACTGATAGTTTAGATTAGAAAAATGTGATTACAAAAAACGGTGGGGTCGGTAAGACTTTTATAATGTTTTTGAAAGAAGTCTTTTATGCTCACCAATGCTGCCTTTGATAAAAAAATACAGTAAAACAGAAATATTATTACATTTTCAATTAACTGAGTTCTATTTAAATATTTTAAAATGTAATTTATTCCTGTGTTGACAAAGCTGAATTTTTAGTATCATCATTACTCCAGTCTTCAGTGTCACATGATCCTTCAGAAATCATTTTAATATGCTGATTTGCAGCTGAAGAAACATTTATTATTATTAGGGATGTAATGATTAACCGCGAGCCGGTTGAAAATCGATTGAGATGCTAAACAAATCGTGATTCAATTAGGGGTAGGAGTTTATATGGATGTATGTCTGAGGGGAACTTACTGTCTATAGAAAAATTTAGATGGTATTTTTTCTTTTCATCTTGCCATAAGTGCAGCGCTGCTTTGTTTTCAGCGGAAACCAAGGAAATGCTTTAAGCGCCACCTGCTGGCGGAGAGTGAATCTGCGTCTCGTACAGCTCGTCAGCTGTTTCGGTTTCATGCAGATATTTTTTATGTATAGTTTCACAAAACTGAAGTCAAATCATTCTGTTTTTGCTTCAGATTTCGAAATTATACAATCTAATTTAGATTACAAACTGCTCATGTTGCATGTATGCAGCATCTTTGTTTGGATCATGATTCAAATGTGTTTGCCTCTAATTTTAAATGAAAAAGAGCACAGACGAAGCCTTATTTTGTTTATACAAAGATATTTATTTTATTTGTGTTACTTATTTATTTGATTTGGGACTTGTTTTAAAATTTCAATTTATTATTGTTATTTACTTTACATTATATTTAAATTTTGTTATTTAGCAGACTAAACAAATGAGGACAACAGAAGCAATCAAAACCAACAAAAGAGCAATAATATGCAAGTGTTATATTAGTATATTATTATAGTGTTATATTTCAATTTCACAAAAAACGTGCAGCATTTTGTTCAAGCAATAATAAAAGGACACATTTGATTTATCATTTTTTTTCTTAAATCTCATTTTGTTAAAAAAAAATCGAATCATGAAATCAAAATCGTGAATCGAATCGTGACTTGAGTGAATCATTACATCCCTAATTATTAATAATGTTGAAAGAAATTGTGCTGCCTAATATATTTTTGTGGAAAATGTGATACCCTTTTTCTGGATTATTTGATTAATAAAAAGTCATTTTAAAAACAGAATTTATTTTAAATGTACATTTCTGGTAACATGATAAATGTCTTTACTGTCAATTGCTGAAATAAAAAAATCATTACACTGAGAAAGGTAAAACAACACGGAAGGTAAATCTCATTAAAACATGTCTATCACATTTTGCATAAAATCAAAGGAACAAAATCAAAACTGTAGTCCTATAGAAAAAATGGGTCTTACTGAGCTTAAAGGAGCAGGAATTCTCCTCTCCAGTCACATGATGTCCAATACACTTCACTTCCTCTCCACTATGCAATATAAACCACAAAGCTGAATTTTCAGCATCATTACGCCAGTCTTCAGTGTCACATGACCCTTCATGAATCATGCTGATTTGCTGCTCAAGAAACATTTCTGATTATTATCAGTGGTGTTGTACCCGCTCCATAATTTCCTGGTAAATGTGATACATTCCTTTGATGAATAGAAGGTTTACAAAAAGCATTTATTTGAAATGGATTTTTCTTTACGATCACTAGCAAGAGTCCTCGCTAAAGAAAAATATTCGTTTTATTTCAAAAATCTTCCTGACCCCAAACTTTAAAAAAAATGTTAAGAGGAACTACATTGTAATTGTAATTGTTGTGTTCGGTTAGTCGTTATGCATAGTGTCTATCCTACTCATCTAAGTCACATGGTGGCGGTTTTTCTAGCTTCATGCATTGCAGTTAAACCAGAAAAACCTGTTTGAAGTCGGACTCCCGATCTCACAGAAACCAGAGACATCTATTGCATATCAAAGCTTTCCATTGTCGCTTTAGCATGATTTAGATATCCATAGCACCATACCGGCAACTCGAAGCAGGATGTTTGAGAGAGTTTGCCATGAGCTGCCATCCTTTGTTTGGGATTCACATTCATATTGGCCTTCATCTATATACTGAAGGCCACTGATCCAAAGAGAGCCATTGTTTGAAATGGAAAGATGCTCTGATGGCTTCGAGGGGTTTTGGGTTGCAACAACAGCCCCATTTTTCTTCCAGCGATATAGAAGTGAAGACGCATTAACTGGCTGGTCCAGACACTGTAGTGTAGTATTCTCAGCCTTCTCTCCAGTAACATACCGCTGCACCTGCTCCTCTGAAACTACAGGAAGAAGGACAGAGCAATGTGGTTTAAAGCAGTACTGTGATCACTTACAAACATGCAGCAAAAGTAGTGTGGGAATACCATGTTTTTTGAATACGGTGCAATTGTAACACCTTGGTACTAGATCTTGTCAATATCATTCTGTACAATGGTTTCACTTACAAAAAAAGTACTATGGTACGTCCAAGGGGTTTGAACATGCACCATGGTATTTTTGAAAATTCCCATGTAAACACTATAGCAAATGACTTTGTAGTATCTATATACAATACATAAGAATAGCTCAGCATAATAGCTCATATAAAAGTGAAACCAGAATAGATTTTCCTGTCAACTCACCTGTTTGATGGGACAGAAGAAGCAGATGTAGAGCTATTGCCGATATGATCATTTTAGGATTGTAAGGATATCCCATCAGATTATGGGATCAAATATTTTCCTTGGCAAATTCGTTTGCTTCCTTTTGTTTCCCGGCAAACGCATCAAACCATTTTCTATGAATTAAATAAATAACCGGAAATTATTCCGATAAAATCGCGACCGTTCGAAACTCGCTTTGGGCTTCGAATCTTGTATATTTTGTGTCACGCTTGATTCATGTCCATCTTCAACCTGTTTACTTTCTTTCTTTCCCGGAAACTTTGAAATTGCTGTTTGACCACACCCTTCACCTGCGCTCTTAAAGAGACACACACCGCATTTAACGCACGCTTGCACGGTGCTCGAGTCTGACTCGAGTCTGACAGGTTGATCAAGCTCGCAACGTTAAGACTGGGGGTTCAGACCTGTATTTTACTATGCATATTATCCCTGAAAGCATCCCTCATATCCAATTTCCATTGCTTACTGTGGAAATTATGGAGGGCCAAATGACTCAAAATTAAACCATTATCTATCTATCTATCTATCTATCTATCTATCTATCTATCTATCTATCTATCTATCTATCTATCTATCTATCTATCTATCGATCTATCGATCTATCGATCTGTCTATCTATCTATCTATCTATCTATCTATCTATCTATCTATCTATCGATCGATCTATCGATCTGTCTATCTATCTATCTATCGATCTGTCTATCTATCTATCTATCTATCTATCTATCTATCTATCTATCTATCTATCTATCTATCTATCGATCTATCGATCTGTCTATCTATCTAAATAGCTTTAAATAATCTTTTGTGGGTATTTTCAGTCTAATTAATTTTGCGATTACTTAGATTAATTAATCGACACATTATGTAATTAATTAGATTAAAAATTGTAATCGACTTGATATATTTATATATGTATTTAATTATGTATTTAACGATTTATTTCTATATTTCAAAAAATGTATTAAATGATTTAATTTTGAGTAATTTAGCCCTCCATAGGAAATACATACCTTAGTTACTATGTAAATACATACTTTTTGTGGTTACACCTTCATAATCATGACATGACATCTACATAATCATGACATGACACATGTCATGAATATGAAGGTTTTTATGCATGTTTATGACAACTGTCATTAAGTGTCATTCACTCAGTTATGTAATTTTTAGTGCAAAGATGACATTGTTTTAGATGTCTTTGTTATGGGCTATGGTTAGGGGTAAGGCTAGGGGTAGGGTTAGGTCAAATAATGTCATATTTGCATTAAAAATGACATAACTGAGCAAATGACATTTAATAACAGTTGTCATAAACATGCATAAAACCTTCATATTCATGACATGTGTCATGTCATGATTATGTAGATGTCATGTCAGTCTTATGCACACCCCTTCAAGTAAAGTGTTACCCTTTTTTTACTTACAGTTGCATAAACAGTACATAAATGCACACATCTGTACATAAACCTACTGATCTTGATGTTTATTTTATTTTTTTATTTGAATGAATGAATGAATAAATAAATAAATACTATGTATATCAAGTAGTTCAATGCATTAAAGTATAGTACACATGTGCAAAATGTAACTTCAGTAATAGTTCATGTAAACACAGTAATAAACAAACATATGAGTGACTGTATTTTACTGTGGCCAATATTTGTAATAATTTTAAAATAATTTAAATACGTTTTAAATAATAAAAAATTATAATTTATAATTATATTTTTACATGACTTGTCCATTAGTTTTTTCGTATGTGAGAAGCCAAAGGCAAATGTTTCCACACTAATGGATAAAAAGTATCTAGTATTTATTGTTTTCATTTTATATTATATTGTTATTGTTTTGTTATGTTATGCTAATTGTTTATAAGGCCTACTAATATTTAGCATTCGCTTGGTCAAGTCTGTTCATGTGAAGGCGTTCCATTCCCTGTTGGAACCTGGTTGGAACGTTTCAACTTTTACCTCCACTAGAGAGTGCCAAAGCTTTACATTTCTGAGGTCTCGACATGTGTGCGACACTGTTTTGGTTCCCCCGCTTTTGGTGCCGGTGAAAATCAGTCCTCCAGACTTTCAACATGTCAGGCTGTAAGAAGCCGCGAGCTGTTGCAAACCCGCTGGAATCGACCATTACATCTCCGAGTGAAAGAATACTGAAAGAATGCCACACTTTATATATCGACAACGACAACGGTAAATAAAAACACATGTTGCTATTTGTCCGTTTGTGATCTAAAACATTATGAAACATTGTATGGTAACGTTACAAATCAGCTGGAAAGTTCAATTATCAAGCGTCCGACATATATAACGATGCTGTTAATTATATTTACACTAGTCACTCAATTCGTGTTATTGACTGTGTCTAAAAAAAATTACCTAGACCACTGAATCTCAACCTTTTGGCGTACCGGACCCCAGTCCAATTCAGAACCATCCCCAAGGACCCCCAGAATAAAATTTTCTCCTCTATGTATCATTTGTGTCTTTGTGTATAACAAAGTATAATTCAAGTTAGTTGACTTGTCCAGTATTTGGACATCAGCTATAATGGATTTTTCTTTAGTGGGAACATGTCATGTCAAAATATACAACATTTATACAAAAATCCATACTTTATACGGACCCCCTAGCCTTACGTCAAGGACCATTAGGGGTCCACGGACCCCTGGTTGAGAAACACTGACCTAGACAGTTTTAGACTTCATATGATATGGCAACATTACTATGTAGGCAGCTCACAGTGATTTGAGACACAGTTATGTTGACCAGTTGTCTCTGCATGTCACACTACTGTAGTCTATGCGTCAGTACAGAATATATACAGCAGGTATAGTACAGTATATGAAGAGTTCATTTGCAAAAACGGATAACTCAACAATTCTCAAAAATCACGTTTTTCCATTGTGCATTCCAATTAATCTCTGCAGTTGGGTTATTTCGATTAGGTTAAAAAATAACTAAAAATGACAGCTAAATAGCACAATAAAACACAATAAAAACACGATTGCATAATAAAAAAAACATGATTTTTGAACATTTCAAAACATGGGAGTTATCTGTTTTTACAAATAAACTCTTCATATGTAACTCCGCGATTATACAATATGAAATGTCCTTTACAGGGCCAGCAACATACAATTATACAAAAATATTCAGGTGCAAATTGCACGTTTGTATGCACATTTACTGTATAATACAGTAGCATCAAAGTACCATAGTATTATCTTCTTTGAATTGTTGCTGGAAAGCAATAAGGCATCATGTACTGATAATAAAGCTCCTTTTGTCTTGGTGTTTTTGACAGGATTGGTGAAAATTGCAGAGAGTTTGGGAGTGAGGCTGTTACCGCCACGGAAAAAGATTATAGTTATGATTATGGGAAACCATTCTGCTGGAAAAAGCTCTTTTATTAACTGGTAATCACACCTCTCACATCAAAAACACCTTGCATCCCTAACTGATTTCATAGAATCAGATCTGGAGATAAAGATTATACAGACTGATGAGAATAATAAGAATGATGTTTTCTTTTCCTGATTTTGTTGTTCTGTACCAACATCTTATCCTCTTATCCTTTTTGACTCCAAGGCCCCCTTTTGTGATTATGAATTTGAAAGATTATGAATAAGGACAAGGATTTAAAAAAAAAAAAAGTTTTACTCATAATTTCTACCCGATAAAATATTTTAGAGATTGACATAACTACAAAAAATATATACATTCATTATTGGCATTTTAAGATTTCATTAAGTTACATGATTTTTCAGGTCTAGAAATCATAAAATGAATTAAAATTAAAATCATTTTAAGTCATTTTGTGGCCCCCTGGTTGCAAACCACTGCATTCGACCATAGTTAAAAAAAATAGTTTAAAAAATGAGTAAAAAGTATGATTACAAACAAGGATACACTTTGTATATGAATATGAGGATAAAAATGATTAAAATCAAATCTGTCTTTCAGGTATGTGGAGGAGCACATACAGAAGACAGGTGTTGCCATTGAGACACAAGGCTTCACATTTATAACAAGTGGAAGAAAACGAGAGTCACTAACAGTAAGTACATTTATGTGCACACCAGAAAGCAGATTATTGTGAGAAAGCTGCTTAAAGGGATAGTTCACCCAAAAATGAAAATGTGATGTTTATCTGCTTACCCCCAGGGCATCCAAGATGTAGGTGACTTTGTTTCTTCAGTAGAACACAAACGAAGATTTTTAACTCAAACCGTATTATAATGGAAGTGAATGGGAATCATGGACCATTGACACTATTATCTACAATCTCAATTAGGAGTGTCAATGGTCCTTTTGAGAGATAGGTGGCGGTAATGCACTTATAAGTCTGCAATCCGCCGTAAAGCAAGAAGACGACGATGTGTCACACGCCGGCTGTCGAGAATGCACTCAGGACATTTCAGACATTGCGGTGCATCAGAGGTAAAAAAACCTATATAAATACTGTTCAGTTTCTTGCACAGACCGATCGTTTCATGTCTTTACACATCAATGTATCGTCACGAGCCGCAGGGTTTAATTTGGTTTTGTTTGTGTATGTTTTTTTTTACTCTCAAAGCCGTGATTCCCATTCACTTCCATTATATGACTGACAGACTGCAACGGTTTGAGTTAAAAATCTTTGTTTGTGTTCTACTGGAGAAACAAAGTCACCTACATCTTGGATACCCTGAGGGTAAGCAGATAAACATCACATTTTCTTTTTTGGGTGAACTATCCCTTTAAGGCGAACAGTTTACACTCTTGTATATGGTGCAAGGCAAATGGTTTTTATGTTTGATTTTGTTGGTACATTGATTACATTTTAGTATGCATATTCATCTGTTTCAGTCAAATGACTTTTTCCGTAATAAATTGTACAGAATTCAAGTTAGCATAGACCCTACTTTAGCTAACGTTATATTCATTTAATGCACAGTCCATCTCCAAATACCAGCGGAGGAGTGCAGGTAATGCATATTATCAGAGGTATACAAAGATGAATAGTGTATTCATGTGTTTTTATATTTACTGCCATTATTTTGACCTTCTGATGGTCATAAATATGGTGGATGAGTGGAAAAGTCACGTGACAGAAACAGATGAGAAGTGAAAGTGCATTTGTGAGTGCTGTTAATTATGGGGCAATTAATAACGACTCATGGGTCACATGTTGACCAGCAGGGGTTTTCTCTGGGTGTCATTCAATAAAAAGAGCTGCAAAGAGATCAATCACATGAAAGCACATTAGCTTAACCTGTTTTAATGAATTTCTGAAGCAACCCTTATTTGAATTTTTCAAGGACACCTTTTCCTGATCTCAGGATGGCTGTGAAAACCAGCTTTAGTGTTTATACAGAGACATAACTTTTAAAGAAGAGACTATGAACTGTTTGTTTGCTTTCAGCGACCAATAAGAATGTTGTAGGCTCAGATTCATTTAATAACTTTTTCAGTTTAAATCCGTTTCACAGAAAATCTGCATGTTTCCTCCTAAAATCAGAGCAGAAAATGTGAAAAAAATGACATTACCCGGTCCTTTCTCCACATTATTCCGTTCTCACTCAACTTTTCTCCTTAATGGCACAAGTCCAGAAAAAGCATTCTTGTGAGCAGATACAGAAGGAATCTCTGGAATTTTTTCTGCTGATTGAGGAGGAAATTCTTCTGAATTAATTTGAATACAGTCAAATGTGCCAGTAAAATACTGCTTGGATTAAGGCAGCATAAATTAGATCTACAGAAACAAAGATATCTTTAATAGACAGCAATTTGATTAAACAGAGAGAAAATATTGACTGTTTTTCTAAGAAAATAAATGAGTAATCTTACTTATAGTAACTTTATTGTATAATTATTATACTAATTATATTATATATTATACTATACTAATTATAATATAGTATAATAACTTTATAATAACTTTTTTGATGCTTTTTCTCAGCAAGGATGCATTAAATTGATCAAAAGTGACAGAAACTTTGTCTTCTATTGTTGTATTGTTCTAAAAAATATATATATTTTGAATTATGTTATAAAAATATATATAAGTAAATGCTGTTCTTTATAACTTTCTATTCATCAAAGAATTATGAAAAACAAAGTCCATCATAGTTTCCATAAAAATATTATGTAGCACCACATTTGAAAATATATTCCAATAGAAAACAGTTATTTTAAATAATAATATTTCACAATATTACTTTTTTGATTAAATAAATGCAGACTTGGTGAGCATAAGAGATTGTTCCATAAAAAGTTTTAAAAGGTCTGGAAATATCCAAAAGCCAAAGATTTCAACATGAATTCAAGCATTTATCATTAGGTTATTTTTCAAAGTCAAATTATCTGAGCTATGTCTACATGCAGAATGCAAAAAGGGATGCAAAAGTATTTAAGAGGAAATGCTTTGGCCAAAAGACAACCTGGACAAAACGACTAAAAAGGCAAAATTGTACATGCGTGCATGTGGCGAAAGAGCAGACCATATCACAGCTTAGTCAGTCGCTCCTTCTGGAAGCAAAGGGGTTTTCTTAAAGACACAGCGTCTTTTTTCCTTAACATATAGGGCTCTCCCTCTCTCTCTTTCCTTCACTGTCTCGTGAAGACCTCAACGTGAGTAATGCAATTACAGTGAAGGAGTGATGTGAAAGGATTATCAGCTCTTTACAGGAAGAGCCTTCCAGCAGAACAGGAAGAGAGCTGCAGCGTGGCCGAGAGTGTCACACCATCACCCAGCCTGCAGAGAGAAAGAGAGAGGAAAGAGAGGAAGAGCAGGGAGCCTCCCTACAGCGGGGCCTGGCTTCTGACTTCACACCACATTCTCCTCTTTAAATGTGTCTGATCTTTCCTTAATCAACATGTTTGCTTCTTTTCCTCACAGGGAAATGCAACATTACACCTTTACCCACATTTCAGACCTCTGCTGGAGTTCAAAGGTAGGAAATTTTAATAGAAGATTGATATGTAACTTTTAGTATGCTGTCAAAAGAATATATATATATATATATATATATAATAGATTAATATATGTTAGAACGTAGAATCTGTTCTATTTATTAATGTCTCAGTCCCTTTAAAATATGTTAGTGTGCTATATTATATATATTATGAATATGATTCATATATTTCAGAACCTTTGATTTTTAGTTTGTTTTTACCTTTGTTAATTACCTTTTTATTATTTAACTTTCCATTTTTTCATTGCAATTCATTTTTGTAGTTTTGCACAACATTTTTCTGTGCATATATGAACTATTCATGTTTGCCTATCAGATATGAATATTTCTTCTGTGCCATGCATATCGACTGAGAGTAAATGACGACTTCTAGGCGTTGTTGATTAGTGTCACATAGTAGCACACTAAAAAAGGGAATTTTCTATTGACTATTATGCGTGATATTAAACAGCCAAACTAGTTTTTAGTGCTGTTTTTCTCATTTATTACTTAGAAATTAGACTTGGTTTGAGGGAAATGTGTAGACGAGGCAGTAGCATCTATAGCTATGACTAACACCTCACACTGAGTCATGCAAGCGTATGTACAGCCAGCGCAGTATCCGCCTGAGTGCGTGAAACATAGCAACACATCTCATTCACATGCACCTCAATAAACTCCTTCTGGCTCTGCTGACTTAACACTTTTCGCTGTGTATTTATGTAACTGTTAAAACGAGAGTCCAGCTGGTGTCACAGCTAGACTGTATCGGAGTGATGGGTCTTCGTTGGTGTAGGTGAGTGGTCTTTGGGTGTGTCAGAGGGCATCATTACCGCACAATGATCGTACAGTATTCCTTCAGTGGGCAGTGTGGGTTCACCCGGTGCAGAGAACCAGAATGAGTCATTCACATTGACAACGGTGCAGCATCAGTGGGGTAGATGTCTTCCCACATTACTGCTACAGAGAACGTACAATTGATAGTCAACAACAGGAACAAATATGAAATGAACAATAAAAATAGCATTTTGTATAGCCATTGCATATTACAAAACTTCAAGTCAGAGTCAAAACCTGACAAAATCATGACATGCATTCTTAAAACATACTATTTAAACAGTAAAACATGCATGCATCTTTTTTATTGTAAGTATAAACCATCATTTTCTGAATTTCATTCTACTTTGTTTACTCAAATTTATGAGCATGAACGTATTGCAGTTGTCTTCTATGTTCCTGGGAATGTCTATAATGTGTCTCATTGAAGGTTTTAAACGTCTGTGTTGGTCTTCAGGATGTGGGTTTGTGTAGGAAAGAATAATGAGATTCGCGATTGGTGCATTGTTTGGGTGTGGTTTTGGCTGGTTTGTCTTATCTCAATAACTTTGACACTATCATCATGACTCGGGTCTCTCCGCAGTGGTGCTGCTGTGCGGTTTGGAGATGACGCAGCACTTTCTTGACCTTTGACTTTTCCTCAGTGGACTAGATCCCTTAGTATCTCCTTCCACCTTTCAGCAGCAAAGTTGGACGCGTTTCTCCAGTTACCTTTTCACCTTTAAAAAGACTCAAAGATTTCTTAATAATCCCTGGTTATTGAGCCTATATCACATGCACATGACTACATCTGATTTTAATTACATAGCATCTGTAGAATGAAATAACTACATGGATATGCTACTGTTCAAAAGTTTGAGGTCAGCAAGCTTTTTTTTATTTCGATTTTTTTATATACATTTATTCAGCCAGGATGAATTAAATTGATCACAATGAAGGCAGAAAAGACATGTAATGTTACAGAAATGCTGTTCTTTTGAACCTTCAATTCAATTCATCTGAAGAAAAAATGTATCAGTTTCCACAAAAATATTATTGAACACATCTGTTTTCAACATCGATTAATCATAATAAAAAAAAATATTTAAAAAAAAAAATATATATATATTTCTGGATCATGTGATACTGAAAATTAAGTTCACCTTTTAAAGTATATTCAAATAGACAACAGTTATTTTAAATTGTAATAATATTTTACAATATTACTGTATTTTTAATCAAGCAAATGCAGCCTTAGTGTGCATAAGACACTTTCAAAAATATTTACATAATTACATAAAATTTACAATATATTTATTTAGATATTTATTCAAACTCTTGATTGGTAGTGTATATGATGGTGATCAACAAAACAAAAATAATACATCTGATCATCCACGTTTATTTTATAGCGCCAAAGTAATTTTAGGAGAAATATCAAATCTTTCTCGATGAAACCTCTGAACAATAATGTTCAAAATCTGAGGATTTTCTGAAATGAGAAAGAGAGAGCAGTTAAGAGACAGAGAGAGATGGACAGACAGATTTGAGGGTGTGTTGGTGCACCTTTGTTGAATGTTGATGAGACAGAACAAGACGGGTTTGTGCGAGATCTTGCACAACTGCAGCCACTATCTGAAAGAGCTTCAGTGTGAACCGCAGATGTGTTGTGAAGGTAGCACAAACATTTGATGAGACCTGACATATAGTTACTATGCAGATTCAAGGTGTGATATTACTTTTCTAAACGATCTAACTGGTGGATGATAAAAACAATATTTGACTAAAAAACCACCCCCAAAAAAATGAGCAATTGCACATCAGCGTGCTAAAATCATTGTGAACATGTAAGCAACCATAAAGCAGGCATTGTGGCAATGACAGAAGCACCAATCGCTATCTTTAGAAAATGTAAAAATGTAGGTTTATTTTATTTACATGCTTTCAAAACTCTTAGCGTGTGAATATTGGCTGGCTGGCGTTGCTTCACAGTCGTTCTTCACTGGCTAGCTTTATGTGGCTCCACCTTAAAGCTGCCAGTTGAAGAGCTGTTGTGGGTGACAATAACAACAGACCACCAGAGGGGGCGTGGTCTAGAAAACTGTACGAGTCAATCAGAATTCATGAACATGTTTTATTAATCAGATGGGTTTTTCCCCCTAGAATTATACTTTTGAAACATCAGATTGTTGTTATAATGATGAATCTGCACTTAGGGTTGTGTTTCTAATACCAGCTTGAGACTTTAGTCTTTGCAACTTCAGGGATCTTATCTATGCACAATCAGCTTGTAACAACTCCAAAGAGAAAGGAAAACTTGAAATTGCATCATATGACCCCTTTAATAAATGCTATAATAGTATATAAATATTACTATACCAACACTGACAAAAATAATGCTGGATATACACATTTAATCATTTAAAATAAAATGTTCTAGAAAGTTGTTAAGACCATTTAAAATGATCAGGAGAATTTAAAATGTACAGTCTTTCTTGTCAGAGACAATGGACCAAAAACATATTGATGACTTTTGTAACAAGTAGCAAATCTAACTAAATTAAAGGATATTTTCTATTTTAGAAAAAGAAACCACACAAAGGTTAGAGTAACACTTTTCTTCACATTTGACCTATCTGTATTTTCAGGTGAGCAGGCGGACCTCATCTTTGTGTTTTTTGACCCGATGGGACAGGCATTGTGCAAGCGTACATTGAACATTGTTGAGAAGTTGAGTGAGAAGTGTGGAGACAAACTGCGCTTTTACCTGAGCAAAGCTGACGAGGTTGGACGAGAAACAGACAGACAGGTGTGTGTGTGCACCTCGACTGCCCTTAAAGTCAATATAAACGTACGAAAACATCTTACCTCAGTACACTGATATATTTCTGTCTGGACTTACAAATGTAATATGGTAATTCCAGTCTCGCTTCAATCTGTACTCCTGATCTTCTTGCCATAATAGTTTGTTCTCTGACAGGAAGCCAAACAGGTGCTATTACAAATCCAATCCTCTGGGGTTTCTCTGTCACTTTAAACCTATTTAGCATTAACCCATCTTAAGGTCAAATGTCTCAGTCGGTGTTGGTGTTGATTTTATTCCCACAGCGAGTGATGATGCAGATTGTCCAAGAGCTGTGCCGGAGACCTGGACTCAACAAATGTGGCTTCGAAATGCCCACGATATACATCCCCAACCCTCAAAAAGTAAGAGATGATGGTAGCAGATTGCTGTGCTGGTTAAATGTCCATGGTTTTCCTCCTAGAAGTGACATGAGTAATGGAAGCCTGCCCATGCTGCACTGCTGTGTCAGAGGAAATGGATTTATGTCTCTCTGCAGCATTTACATTAATTAGTTCGTTCTGTCAGCAGAGACACTTCTCTTAAAAGCCCAACTTAAAGGAGAAATGGACTGATGCTAATACGACATAAAAGATAAACTTGATTTCAGGCTGCTTTATAATGCACTACCGTTTAAAAAAATAAGAATTTTTTTAAATACTTTTATTTGCATGGACACAAATTAATCAAAATATACAGATGTTTATAATGTTACAAATATATTCAAATAAATGCTGTTGAACTTTCTATGCATCAGAAAATGTTGGTTTCCACAAAAATATTAAGCAGCAGAACTGTTTTCAACATTGATATTAGTAAAAAAAAAAAAAAAATTCTTGAGCACCAAATCAACATTTTTCATCTGCTAAAAATGCAGTTGTTCACGTCCTTAAAGGGTTAGTTCACCCAAAAATCATTAATTACTCACCCTCGTGTTGTTCCAAATCCGTAAGACCTTCGTTCATCTTCGGAACACAATTTAAGATATTTTTGATGAAATCTGAGGGTTCTCTGACCCTCCCATAGACCGCAAGGTAACTACCACGTTCAAGGTCCAGAAAAGTACCAAGATGATCGACAAAGTAGTCCGTGTGACATCAGTGGTTCAACTGTAAAGTTACGAAGCTACGAGAATACTTTTTTGTGCAAAGAAAACAAAAATAACGACTTTAATCAAAAATAACTGTGGCGGCGCCAGCTCTGACCCAGATCTGGCGTGTTGACGTCATTAAGCCAGATCTGGGTCATCGCCGCCACACGCTCGCGTCATGATACTGTCTCTGACCCTCCCATAGACAGCAAGGTAACTACCACGTTCAAGGTCCAGAAAAGTACCAAGATGATCGACAAAGTAGTCCGTGTGACATCAGTGGTTCAACTGTAAAGTTACGAAGCTACGAGAATACTTTTTTGCGCAAAGAAAACAAAAATAACGACTTTAATCAAAAATAACTGTGGCGGCACCGGCTCTGACCCAGATCTGGCGTGTTGACGTCATTAAGCCAGATCTGGGTCATCGCCGCCACACGCTCGCGTCATGATACTGACGTGAACGCGCGTCCTCAAGTGACGCAGTAGAGATGAAAATGTAGAATAAAGTCGTTATTTTTGTTTTCTTTGCGCAAAAAAGTATTCTCGTAGCTTCGTAACTTTACAGTTGAACCACTGATGTCACACGGACTACTTTGTCGATCATCTGGGTACTTTTCTGGACCTTGAACGTGGTAGTTACCTTGCTGTCTATGAAGGTTAGAGAGCCCTCAGATTTCATCAAAAATATCTTAAATTGTGTTCCGAAGATGAACGAAGGTCTTACTGGTTTCAAACAACACGAGGGGGAGTAATTAATGACAGAATTTTCATTTTTGGGTGAACTAACCCTTTATTTTATTTTTTTCAATGGCAATGCCAATATGCATATGCGGCTTTGTTGGTAATGACCATAAAATAATTCTTCATTCCATTAGTCCACTTTTTGCTTTACAATGTTATTAGATATGATACTACTACTATAGATAGTTGATGAAGTGAATATAAAATGATTTAAGTTTTGTTTTTGTGTGTTTGTGTGTGCAGCCCAGCAGATGCATCAACCAGATTGATGAGGTTTGTGAGACCATTGAGAAGAGCATAAACCAGGCAGTGCAAAAAACACTTGACCAGCTGGAGAAAGACTGTAACCTGATCATCTCTACCATCAACCATACACTGGAACAGGACCGGTACACATCCATCCATCCTCACTATATCACACCATCTGCTCTGCATCATGACTCTAGAGCTCATATATGTAATGTTTATCAGCTTTGCATGTATTTGTCTTCCCTCAGGATGAATGTGAGCAGTAATAAAAGCAATCGTTTTAATTCTTTCCTGTGTGGAGTTGGGGGAATCTTCCTTCCATCGCTCTTCATCCTCAGCTTCATCATCAGCACCTTCGCTCCAGAGGAACTGGACTCTCTTGTTGGAGAGGGATTGGCTAAAACGCTCTACTTTTCCACAGTATGTTCTTATTTTCATGTTTTCTGGAGATTAAGATCCAATCACAGGTGAATCTGTTTTATTTTGTCTGTGTACCTGTGTGTGTTTATTAGGGAATAGTTGTGTATCTGTGGGACTGGATTCCTGAAGATTGGCAGATAATGTTTGTGATCATCTTTGGTGCTCTGTGCTACTTTATGTTCTTCTTGGCCAAGTATTTTGCACGGTGAGGAAAATTGTCTCTAAATGTTTTGTTTTATTGTCACAAGGGGGCACCATAACTCTGACATTGTTTACTTTTTTTATTTATTTGACACTTTATCTTTTGGCTTTGGAAGAGCTATTTATTCAACAGTGTACAATGCAGTGTGTAATGTACACAGTGGAATAGCCAGATACTACAATCAAATAAAATAATTAATTAAAAATCAATATATAATAGAGTATATAGCATGAAATAAGATATCCCACAATGCAATGCACTTAACTTGACTTAACTTTTTCCAGTGCAACATATTAAGCTTTTTTTACATCATTTTCTCCACTTTCACAATGCAAACATACATTTGTACATACTGCAAATTTGTTCACAAGACAATACTCGCAGAATTCAATATGCATGTAATGAGGTCTAGTGACAAATATGATCATTTGCATTATGCTTACTATTTTACATACTATTTTGAAAGGTCAAGTTAGTGTCACCAAACAGAATGGCAAAATAATGACCTGCCTGCATCACACTGCATCTCCTTCATACTAATATGGTAGCACTTTAGATTCTGCATGAGCTTATTCTTGATCCCTTAACCTTCCGCAATACCTAAACATAACTACTATAAACAACTACTTTACTTGCTATCAACAGCAAGCAGAAAGCTTTTTATAACCTACACTCACTCAGGGATTTTACCAGAAAAGATTTTTGATTTTTCTATCAAATGTTAATTTAAAAAATCTTGTATAATTTTAACTGCGTTGTTTTTATTTTGTGTTTATTTTTGTAACTCTTGTATTATTCCAAGTCAATTTTTGCCATGAAGTTAGCTTTAGATGCTACTTCGATTACTACAACTACTACTGCTTACTATCAATAAGCAGCAAATTAGGAGTTTATTAAGGGAAGACGCTTAAAAACCTTAATCTAAAGTAGCATTAATATATATTAATATATGTCAAGATATACAGTATCTGAAAAATATATCAAGATTTGAATCTAATGCAGTCAATGAATGCTAGTGTTTAAACGTTCAGTATACTGTGCCACTTACTGTAATTCAATTCTTGAGCTGATTTCTATTTTTTAATGGTCACTTCATCAGTTTAACAGCAGCCCTCTCAATGCTCTGATCTCCTTCAGTCAGGGCAGTAAGACGCTGACTAAAAGAGAGAAGAAACAACTGGCAGAGTACAGTGACTACATCCAGGATATCGTCAAATCCAAGAAGGTACGACATACTTTAGGCATCATTGTGAATATCATAATTACACTGTTTCTTTAGCCATTCATTTTCCTAAAGATGTACATTAGTCTCACAATCCTTGCTTGTGTTGAAATTTACATTACTGTTCAAAAGTTTGGGGTCTTGAAGTTTTTACATGTATTTATTTATTTATATTCAGCAAGTATGCATTAAATTGATCAGTGTAGACATTTATAATGTAACAAAAGAATTATATTTCAAATAATTGCTGTGTTTTTTGTAACTTACTCATAGGATCTTGAAAAAAGTTTATCATGGTTTTCCAAAAAAACACTTTAAGCAGCAGAAACTGTTTTCAACATGAATAATAATATCAAATGTTTCTTGAGCAGCAAATCAGCATATTAGATTGATTTCTGAAGGATCATGTGACACTGAAGATTCAGCTATGCATGACAGGAATAAATTACATTTTAAAATAGAAAACAGTTATTTTTAAATTGTAACAATATTTCACAAAAATTCAGCTTTAGCGTTAGTTCTGGTAGGTCACGTGAGTCAAGCTTGCATGATTCTCAGCTGATCACATCTACCTATAGGAATACGACACATATCGCGGCATTCCTATATAAGCTCTATTCAGTATTATTCAGCAGCTTTTCAGCTTGCTACGGAGCAAATTACCCTCCTCCATCCCCAGCTCCACCTTTCGCCACAGTCAGGACTTAGCTTTCTGATATTCCTTGCTAATCAGACTCCTTTATCTTGAATAAAGTGTTACACTTAAATATCATTGAGTACATTAATGATATCTGCCTTGTTCTGTTCTGTTAACCTTGGGGGGGTTATTATTGCTGCTCTCCCTGCTCATTCATGACAGGCTGCATGGAAGGGCAGGGAGGTTTTTGCCCAGAACAGAACCATACCGCCAAACCAAACTTTATGCTAAGTATCTATCATTTTGACGATAGTGGTCCTGACAGAATGACTGTTTTAACTGCATATTTGATTGAATGCAGCCTTGATGAGCATAAGAGACTTCTTTCAAATACATGATAAAATCTTACCAACACCAAAAATTTGAACAGGAGTTTGTTTCGCTAGTGTTTAGAATTTAAACTGAAGTAGCAAAAATTGTGCGAAAGTGATTCATTACTTAATAAATTCTTTATTCATTTCTGTGAAATTGTTAGTTTAATCCCATCCACTGCTTATTTTCAATTTACAAATGTTAAAATGTTGTAAAAAATGATTATTAATATGACTTTTTATAACTGTTATACAATTTAATATAGTTTGTTCCTGTGTTAATTTAGAGTAAAACTAAAAACCATTAAACCAGAGCAGTTTAACCAGCTTGGCTTGACTTTGAGACCAGCTAACCACCTTAACCTCCATGTTGGTTTTTCAGCAGAGATGTGAGAGAACTGAAAACTGAACCTGCGTTTGAAATGTAAGCCTTTCAAAGGATTCCGTCTTCTAATCTTGTAATATTTGTCATCTTTATCTTAGCGGAAGCTGTATGAGGAGTATCTTCGCCAGTGTGCTGCAGAGTATGATTTCTGAAGGAAGCCTGCATGACAGCCATCGGTCACATCAGAGTCGTCGGAATAATTCATATGAAGCACATCCCACAGCAAAATCCCCCGAGTTAAATCAACTCTGCTCAGAGTACATATTGTCCCAATCTACAGAGTGTTAAAGTAACACTGAAGCCGAGTTAAAGTTAATGGGACAATTAAGCGATTAAGGAAGTAATGATTGAGCACTAGTAAAGAAAACCCACTGTTAACAATGTTGAACATGAACAACTACTGCTCAGGCTTTTAGACATGAAAACCTACCACACAATCCTCAACAGTGGTAACTCTGCTTCAGTGTTACTTTAGCACCCTGTAGATTGGGACAATGTGTACTCTGAGCAGAGTTGATTTAACTCGGGGGATGCATGTGTAAAACAATGATGTAGTTTCATATTTACATGAGTGAGAAGAATAACAAATCAGTGCCTTTTTGTTAAGTGTGAATAGTGTTGAACAAAATGTGATATACAAACATGACCTCAATATTATCTTACACCAGCTAGTTTTTCTATATGAGTGTGTATATAATGTAGCTTATTTATCCAATAAAGCTACATTATCACCATGTAATGACATAATTCTGAGACATTAGCCTGGTTTCTGTGGCCTTCTTTTGATCTCCAGGAGCACTGTGGGAGAAACCAAAGGTACCAAATTCAACCTCATATACTCTTTACACAGTGTTTATATTATTAAGACACATTTCTACTTTTTATAATGTAACAATGAAGAATTTCTCCCAGCAGCCACAGAAAAAGCACTCGACTAACTTGAGGTCTTTGTGTCATTCATATGTATGTGAATGTACCGTTGCATGTTTGTCTATGTATATGCCATTTAAATGTGGTTTTAAAATGATTGTTTTGTAGTGTTCTGAAGTGATGCTGCCTAAAAAGGATAACATTTTAGAATTATTCTCTTAGGGCATTGTTTTATGAATACTAAGGACTTGCATCTTTTTTTTTTTTTTTTTAGAAATAGCTGGGTTTGATGTAAACTAAGTGAGTCAGTTTTTTACCCATCCATGTATACAGGGTGGAATCATGCGCGGATTTAATTTCATTATAAATTTTTTTTATTTTATTTTATTAGCTCATTTATTTTTCAGCTTTTTAAATGTAAGAAACTGTAGCACTTCCATGACTTTTAAATGAACATGCATTTACCTCAGTGTTGCAAAAATGCCTTTTATTATGACTGCGATAATTCAGATTTCATAGCATATTGTTATACTGATTTTCCAAATGGCTGTTATTTTAAATTATTTTTTTTTATAGCTATGCTGATTTTTATCTTGCTGTGTTTTTGGTGAGTATATTTGAAAGAACAAGCAGCCCAATAAAGCGTTATAGCAACAAATTTATTCATCTTATTATTCCACCAGAACCTGTCCCATATGACTGAAACCTCCAATCCCTGGCTTGTTAGGGCTTATCTAGTGTTCAGTATCATGTTTGTCGCTAGACTTGCTTGTTGCTGTAAGCTATTGGTTGTTACTGCAAGTGCTGGTACTTAGTTAATCTTGCAACAGTAAGAAGCTAATGTTTAAGTTGTGGTTTAGGCCATCCGATTGTTCTTGAAATATGCTTGCTGCTTATGGCTCATCTAGTATTGGGAATGTTATTTCCTTAAGTTCCTGACTACTGTAACATGCTGTGATTAAGCAAGCAACATGCTTGTTGCAAAGCTATCTAGTGTATTGGTAAGAATTTTTATCTATGCTCACGCGGGTTGTCGGATTGAGGACACGTAACACACGAGTACAAATGTCAATGGGAGACGGACAACCTGTAAACTGATGAGTTGATTTGAGTTATTATATGCTGTTGTTGTAGTCTTTTTAAATGGATGCTGAAGCTTTTAGGCAAGGTAGAATGTGATATCTGATCCGTTCATTGCTCGCTTCTATGGCTGCAGTACGCTGTTTGCTGCCAATTCTAGTGGGTTTTCTGCATCTTTTTCAGGTATTGCATTAAAGGGGCTTGCTGCTCTTCTTAGCTGCTTATAAAGAGCACCCCTTTGCTGCAACTCTCCTCCGGTAAGGGGCTTGCTGCTCTTCTTAGCTGCTTATAAAGAAGAGCACCCCTTTGCTGCTACTCTCCTCCGGTAAGGGGCTTGCTGCTCAGCTGCTTATAAAGAAGAGCACCCCTTCGCTGCCTTCTACTGTAAGTTGCTGCTACCCCAGTCTCTGTTATTCCAGAAGGATATGCTTCTTTCAGAATGCCATTGGTTGTGGTTTGGGCGGTTCTGGCCTATCGTTGTGTTGGGGGGTCCGGGCCTATCGTTTGTGTTGGGGGGGTTATTATTGCTGTTCTCCCTGCTCATTCATGACAGGCTGCATGGATGGGCAGGGGGGTTTTTTGCCCAGAACAGAACCATACCGCCAAACCAAACTTTATGCTAAGTATCTATCATTTTGACGATAGTGGTCCTGACAGAGATTAAGCTTTAGCGTTAGTTCTGGCAGGTCACGTGAGTCAAGCTTGCATCAGCTGATTCTCAGCTGATCACATCTACCTATAGGAATACGACACCTATCGCGGCATTCCTATATAAGCTGTATTCAGTATTATTCAGCAGCTTTTTAGCTTGCTTCGGAGCAAATTACCCTCCTCCATCCCCAGCTCCACCTTTCGCCACAGTCAGGACTTAGCTTTCTGATATTCCTTGCTAATCAGACTCCTTTATCTTGAATAAAGTGTTACACTTAAATATCATTGAGTACATTAATGATATCTGCCTTGTTCTGTTCTGTTAACCTTGGGGGGGTTATTATTGCTGCTCTCCCTGCTCATTCATGACAGGCTGCATGGAAGGGCAGGGAGGTTTTTGCCCAGAACAGAACCATACCGCCAAACCAAACTTTATGCTAAGTATCTATCATTTTGACGATAGTGGTCCTGACAGAATGACTGTTTTAACTGCATATTTGATTGAATGCAGCCTTGATGAGCATAAGAGACTTCTTTCAAATACATGATAAAATCTTACCAACACCAAAAATTTGAACAGGAGTTTGTTTCGCTAGTGTTTAGAATTTAAACTGAAGTAGCAAAAATTGTGCGAAAGTGATTCATTACTTAATAAATTCTTTATTCATTTCTGTGAAATTGTTAGTTTAATCCCATCCACTGCTTATTTTCAATTTACAAATGTTAAAATGTTGTAAAAAATGATTATTAATATGACTTTTTATAACTGTTATACAATTTAATATAGTTTGTTCCTGTGTTAATTTAGAGTAAAACTAAAAACCATTAAACCAGAGCAGTTTAACCAGCTTGGCTTGACTTTGAGACCAGCTAACCACCTTAACCTCCATGTTGGTTTTTCAGCAGAGATGTGAGAGAACTGAAAACTGAACCTGCGTTTGAAATGTAAGCCTTTCAAAGGATTCCGTCTTCTAATCTTGTAATATTTGTCATCTTTATCTTAGCGGAAGCTGTATGAGGAGTATCTTCGCCAGTGTGCTGCAGAGTATGATTTCTGAAGGAAGCCTGCATGACAGCCATCGGTCACATCAGAGTCGTCGGAAAAATTCATATGAAGCACATCCCACAGCAAAATCCCCCGAGTTAAATCAACTCTGCTCAGAGTACATATTGTCCCAATCTACAGAGTGTTAAAGTAACACTGAAGCCGAGTTAAAGTTAATGGGACAATTAAGCGATTAAGGAAGTAATGATTGAGCACTAGTAAAGAAAACCCACTGTTAACAATGTTGAACATGAACAACTACTGCTCAGGCTTTTAGACATGAAAACCTACCACACAATCCTCAACAGTGGTAACTCTGCTTCAGTGTTACTTTAGCACCCTGTAGATTGGGACAATGTGTACTCTGAGCAGAGTTGATTTAACTCGGGGGATGCATGTGTAAAACAATGATGTAGTTTCATATTTACATGAGTGAGAAGAATAACAAATCAGTGCCTTTTTGTTAAGTGTGAATAGTGTTGAACAAAATGTGATATACAAACATGACCTCAATATTATCTTACACCAGCTAGTTTTTCTATATGAGTGTGTATATAATGTAGCTTATTTATCCAATAAAGCTACATTATCACCATGTAATGACATAATTCTGAGACATTAGCCTGGTTTCTGTGGCCTTCTTTTGATCTCCAGGAGCACTGTGGGAGAAACCAAAGGTACCAAATTCAACCTCATATACTCTTTACACAGTGTTTATATTATTAAGACACATTTCTACTTTTTATAATGTAACAATGAAGAATTTCTCCCAGCAGCCACAGAAAAAGCACTCGACTAACTTGAGGTCTTTGTGTCATTCATATGTATGTGAATGTACCGTTGCATGTTTGTCTATGTATATGCCATTTAAATGTGGTTTTAAAATGATTGTTTTGTAGTGTTCTGAAGTGATGCTGCCTAAAAAGGATAACATTTTAGAATTATTCTCTTAGGGCATTGTTTTATGAATACTAAGGACTTGCATCTTTTTTTTTTTTTTTTTTAGAAATAGCTGGGTTTGATGTAAACTAAGTGAGTCAGTTTTTTACCCATCCATGTATACAGGGTGGAATCATGCGCGGATTTAATTTCATTATAAATTTTTTTTATTTTATTTTATTAGCTCATTTATTTTTCAGCTTTTTAAATGTAAGAAACTGTAGCACTTCCATGACTTTTAAATGAACATGCATTTACCTCAGTGTTGCAAAAATGCCTTTTATTATGACTGCGATAATTCAGATTTCATAGCATATTGTTATACTGATTTTCCAAATGGCTGTTATTTTAAATTATTTTTTTTTTTATAGCTATGCTGATTTTTATCTTGCTGCGTTTTTGGTGAGTATATTTGAAAGAACAAGCAGCCCAATAAAGCGTTATAGCAACAAATTTATTCATCTTTTTATTATTCCACCAGAACCTGTCCCATATGACTGAAACCTCCAATCCCTGAGTTAGTACCAAAGAAAAGCTATAGGAGGTCAGAGCTACAAGAAGCATTCGTTATTATTGCGTACAATCTAAAAAACAATCAATCAGTCCGTCATCAATAAATCATTTTACGATTAGTCAGAAAATACAAGCCTCTTATAATACGAGCATTTCTATAGATAAAGTTATAGCTTTTAAATATTTGTCGTCTTGTGCAATTTACTAGCAGGGCAACCACAGTTCCCATGAGCAAGAGGTATATTGTCATTGTTTCAGGCCAGTCCTGGTGCATGGGGTCATACTTCAGTTTGGGGTGAGAACATTCAAAATGACAGTATCGCTTTATTGCCATGGAGATTATACTGTAAATTTGAACTTGAAA